CTGTAGTAGTGGCGGAGGCGCCCCTCCACTGAATATGGCAGCTGCATTTCAAAAGAATCCTGAAACCTTGACTGCCATGATTGCTTTCAGGTGTGATGTGAACAAGCCACCCAGATCTGTGACCTCCGCATTGCACGTCGCCTGTGTTGCTTCAAGGCGAGGAAGTGTCGAGAAAGCAAAGGTCCTTATTGCACATCGAGCAGATGTGAATGTCAGGGCCACCGCAGTGGGCATTTTGGGATGCATGTGTCGCTGCGCTCAGCTGATGTCCCAGTGTTCAGGTTTTGCGTCCTGCTCTCAAGCAACAAAAGTGCTCGGAAGTCTAGATGAGATCACCCCATTGGGCATGGCTGCTCTCTATGGTGACCTCGCCTTGACTCAATGTCTGCTTGAAGCAGGAGCGGACCGCTCCATTGCAAACGCAAGGGGCGATCCTCCTGTGGTGTTAGCACTTGCCCAAGGGCACCACACAATTGCAGATGAGCTGATGAGCTTCTGACGGATTTCTCCTGGACTCAACACATGATTGTGTTTGTTGGGTTCGCAAAGCAGTTGGCAAGCTCTTGTCAATTGTAGTACAGATTCTCGTTTCGTTTCACCGTGTACACTTGTGTACCAGGCAAATCCTGTGGTTCGCATCCAGACATGATTTTATGTTGCCATGGGCTTGGAACTTCACCTGGGTGGAAATGGATGGCACTCCAACCTATTTCGCTTTAATCACCTCCTTTGCTTTCCATAAAGGGAATTGTGCTATCCTTTCCAGAATTTCACCCTGGTGTAGCTCAGAGGGCCACTGCGCCCAGCCCGGTTCTGGCAAGCTGTGCACGAGAGCGCGGCCAAGCTTCAGCGGAGCAAAATCTGCCCAGTGAAATGCAGCCCAATTGGCTGGGTTGTTTTGGGGGGACGAGCAAATCAGCAAGGGTTCGAGAGGACGAGCAAGCGAGAGGACGAGCAAGCGAGAGGTTTCCACCGGCCAGCCGGGATCCGCCTCGGGGGGCGAAGGGTATCAGGAATGAATAAAGGTGTTTGAGGGGAAGACGATTTATCACCTTAGATACCAGAGGGTTCAACAAAAGATACAAGCCAAAAGGAGTCCTTGCTTCCATGATCTCTTGTAAGGCAAATATGTGTTGAGTTGGTTGGGTGAGTCATCCTTTGGCCGACACACAACTGGACGTCGAAATTTTGCACTACGGTGGGCTTGAGGTTCCAACAAGTGGTGCTCGATGCGTGCCATGCTCAAAATCACCCCCAAATGATTCTTAAAAGGAAAACAACCCCCCACTTGCCCAGTGGCGCCCTTTGTTCCTTTTTTTGGGGAACGGTTCCCCTTTAAACTCAACCAACCAAGAAAAGGTGCCCTTTTTTCCCATGGCCACTGGGCATCTGACCCTCGTTTCTGACTTTGATCACCGCCGAAAACGGTCAAACGCGCCAGTCTACCCAGGCATCAAACGGAATTTCCGTACCGCGGTGCTGTGGCCCAGTTCCTCAGCCTTTTCCCTTTTTGAGTGTCTTGGGACTCGCTAGACATGGTCAACCCACAAGGGTTCCCTGTGACCGCACGGCGCGGTCGGCCCGCCGGCGTCAGCCCACCTTGTGGGGCCACGTGGGAACCAATTGGATATGATTGGTCGATGTTTGATTGAGCGGTGAATATGGAGAGTATCCTATTGGATTTAATGTCACAGCCTATGTAATGATTTTTTTTTTCGAACGACTTACATTCTGTTTGATTGAATATGGTTTGTGAAGGCTAGTGTTCGAGCACATGCTGCTCCGGATTGCGTGAGACCCCATATGGCTGTTTGTTCTCGGCAGTCCTACGCCTTTGACAGAAAAGCAAAGATAGTGCGTGTTTTGTTTGTTATGTTTCATGATTTTCAACAACAGGTTGAAAAGTACGGGTTTCACATGGGTCGTATACGCAAATGACAACAAAACGGAAATATATATATATATATATATATATATATGGGAGTCGTTCTAAAGGTCCTTGTAAGGAGTTTAGTATTCGGTGACCATCGGTGTTGGTTGAGGTAGCTCCGCGAAAGATTCGCGATGGAGTTGCGAAAGTAACTTTTTTTCTCGCGAAAGTTTTGCGTAACTGTATCTGGGAAATCAATGATATGTGGAGCCGTTCATCTTTTCTGCTGAGCCTTCCTTCTATTCTGATGAAAGCACTTTGTTGATGTTGCGCTGATACAGCCTGGTGAGGCTACAGTTTGATTCCCTGCTTGGCTGGTTAGTGCTCCAAGCCTGTGTATGTGTGTCTGTGGGTGTTAGTCGGTGGCTTTCCGCGCTGAAACGTGGGTGATTTTTCGCGAAAGTTCCGCGAAAGATCCGCGAAAGCCCACGCGAAAGCGCAGGCTTCGATTGCAAGGGGAGGTATAGTCTGAGCGCCGACCTAGTCAGTATACTAGCTTGGTACTGGAAAGCTGCGACTTCAAGCTGGAGCTGCACGGCGGACGAAAAGCTGCGACTTTCCAGCCGGCGCACGTCATGTACTACCCCTGTGATGAAAAGTTGCGACTTTACAGCTGGAGTTGGGAAATTGATATTTCGCTCACAACGCTGGCACTTAAAAGCTGCGATTCTCTGACTCGAGAAATGAAAAGAGCACGGCGATGAATCCGCGAAAGATTCGCGAAAGTAACTTTTTTATTCGCGAAGAATGGCCGTTTCGAGACAAAGGGATTTAGATCAACCACCATATATATATGGCCAAATACAGGGGTTTGACCGAACCAAACGGCCATACGGTCTGCCAGGTAGTTCTACTCTAGCGGATTGCTTTTTGTGCTGACCCAACAAGATATTCCGACTGTTCGACACTGATGGCAGGTGAGCTTATGGTTTTCCGCAGTGGATGAATTGATTGGCGATTACTTCCGGTGGCATCAACTATTTCCTGAGAGCGAGCAAGCGCGTTGGATGGACGGAGTTCGGTTGAAGTCTCCCCGCGACGTGGCTTCTAGAATCATGATCCGTTCAAAATAGGCTCCTTCCCCAAAACTATTCTGCCACTTGGCGCGAAATCACCGCACCGGATTGATCATCCACGTGACAAGTGCTTGCGCCATCCCACGCAGCTATTGTCCGGCCCTGTCAGCCGAGCCCTGTGGAGGACGACGAGAGCGAGGAGGAAGCAGAGGAGGGTGAAGCGGCAGAGGTAAGGATCGGGTTGCCGATTGCAGCGGAGTTTGCATGGCAGCCGTTTTATTGCTGAGGCACAGTTGATGCTTGACATATTACAAGTTGTGCAACAAGGGAAACCTCCTAAGTTGCACTATTTAGGGCATCGACCCAGACTGTCAACTGGGCAGAAAGGGGTGTCTAGCCATTCTTTGCACTTGCTTTGCGGCGTACTCGACACTCACTTTGATTGACACCAGAAAGCCCGTTGATTTGTCTCGTAGTGCATACATTTGGAGTGGCTTTGACCTGTTTTCAACAAGTTTCCCTCGATGCATGGATGGTTCCTTGGATGACATGCGGTTCAATCATGTTTCGTTTTAATGTGACGAAACGGGTTGTCCAAGAAGAGCACAGATTTTAGCCAGCAATTCCTGTGAATCCGTGAGCTTTGTTGCCATCTACCTCTAAACTTGGCCGATTCTCTATGTCAGACTTCCTTTCCAAGGCTTCCAATCGTGTGGCTTCCAGCAAGCCCATCTACCAACCTGTGGACACGCTTCATTTGCCTACATTTGTTGGACTCCCAGCGCCAGAGGTGGCACCGCCACCTCCACCTCCACCTCCACCTCCGCCACCGACGGAGATACCTGTGGAAGAGGCGGCCCTGGTCAACCAGTTATTTGAGGTGAGGAACAGTCAAAGCCAATGTGGGTAAGTGAGGATTCGTAGGGGGAAGTCCCAAACACAACTGGCAGCTCGTGGTGATTCTTTGCATGCTTTTGGGTAGACACCTGTACCAGGTTTTATTTGTCGGCTCGGTCATCAAAGCTATGCGGCTTTTCGCATGCTCGGTGTTGACGGGACACAACAGGAATTGATCATTACTCGTTGGGTCGTCGCTGAATCCTATTGAGGCACACTTTCCACACGTTGCAGCTATATATGGGCTGGAGCACTCTCCTCATCAGGTGTCTCTTCTTTGGTAGGCCTGCGCTCTTGTACAGAGTGTAAAAGAATGCGACGTTTCACCATGACTTGTGCCTTCAAAGCAACTCGAATTCCCCACACCTTAAGCATCAGAGGCCCATGTAACATGAAGTAAGTGAGATCAGCTCAACTCAGTGTCAACTCCCCCAGGTTGGCAATGTGCCAGTCCATGTTCTACAAATGGCCATTTTCAGACCCCGTATTGGAACGTTCAAGTTTGAAGCTCGCAGAGGGCTGTCATGCCTAGCTGCTCAGGTTCGTGGCGTACCCTTGCCCGGAGCTCGGGCCCATTTGAGCAACGCCCAAAACCCAAAAGCTCATTTTAGTAGGTGGTTTTACTACCTGGGGGTTACAGAAAGTTCCATGCAACCTTTACAACCAGGTTGGTGGAACCAAAAGTCAATGGAAGTCAATGCTCATTAGTCTTTGGTGCCTGATTAGTAGGGCTTATTGAGACGCATGTGGTATGGGTCCCTTCTCATCCCAGTTGCCCGAGAACCTCTTATTGGCTTCCTTTATGGCAGGTGTCACGCTGTCGCCTTGCACACAAGACGCCGTTTTGTGGCTGTTGTGTGAGCAAATGAGCTGGGGTTGTCCTTTTTATCCCAAAGCAACGAGAAGCAAACGAAAGCCATTTCTTGTGCGCTCACCTGGTGAGCCACAATCAAACCCAGGCAAGCGAAGGTTAAGGGACAATCCCAACCGCAAATTGCTCGTCCGCCCTTTGAATTCTTTACATGGTCTTGGGTAGACCATGTTAATACCAGACTCACCTGCGGCAAAAAGAGCTCACAAATGATGAAGCAGCTGTTTCCGCTGCACTAGGCTGATGCTCCCAACACCAGCACCGAAGTGGGAGGCTGAAAGGAGCCAAAGCGGACATTCCTTGTTCTTTTCAAGATCACCCCTCCCTTGCGTGATGGGTTTGTCCAGTTTTTCTCAACAGCTGAAAGCTAAGGGGTCGCAGCCCAGATAAGGTTTGGGGGTGGCTCGGGGGAGCTCCGGAGTCAGGTTCGAGCAAGGTTCCGGAGGTTCCGGGGTGGTTTGGTCCAGGCACGTGCAAGTTTCAAGGAGGTTTCGGGGTGGTCTCGTGCAGGGAAGGTTCAAGGAAGGTTCTGCAGGTTCCGCAGGTGGTCTGGGTGTAAGGTTCAAGGAAGCTCTGGGGTGGTTTGGTGCAGGCCACATGAAAGGTTCAGGCAAGGTTCCGGAGGTTCCGCAGGCGAAGGCCCGCTGCAACGTTCAAGCAAGTTTTGCAGGTTCCGGGCTGGTCTGGTGCGGTTGCGGAAGTTTTGGGGTGCAAGGTTCAAACAATCGTCCCCAAACATCTATCAGCTGAAAGCAACGGGGTCTCAGCCCAGATAGGCTCCGGGGTGGTCCAAGGCGAGGTTCCGAAGGTTCTGCCAGGGTTCGTGAGGGTTGTGGGGATGCGCGGGGCGGTTCCGAGAGGTTGGGATGCATGCCGTTGGGGATATCACCTGAGTTTTAGTTGTAAGTGACTGTAAGTGCTTGATGCCCAGAGTAGAATTCAGAAGTTAGAGTGGCCGTTGTCAGGCTCCAGATCCGCTGGGTCGCTTTAAGGAGCCGGTTCCCGAGGCTTTTTCACGCGCTCGCCCATCCACACGGCGAGGCTGCCAGCACGCTGCACTCGGCCCGGGACCCTGTCCTTTCTGGGTCTGCGTTTGGGAAGGTCGGAGACATTTTTGCAATTGGCAAAAGAAACAGGTTCCCAATTGTCACTGGAGGTTTTGGGGCCTCAGTTGGTCAGTGGATTCCATCCTCTAAATCCCCTTTTTCCTTGGTGGGTTCGCAACCTTGTGAAGACTGGAATCAACCCGTAAAAGGGCTCCAATTGTTTTTCTACTGTCAGGGGCAACTGGGTCCAATGCGGTCGCCTTGCTTGGGGAAGCAGGAACGGCGTAGGCGAAATGTACTGAAAGGAAGGAGGCCATGGCCATGACCCCCACCAGGAGCTGAGACAAGCACCTGGGTCATGTAGGTGTGTGCGTGTGTTTGGTTTAAAGGGAAACCTCCTTAAATCGGGGGGGGGGGGAGGGCTATTTTGAGACATTCATTTTTCCCCATGTTTGACTTGATTTGCCGTTGGCTATGTCGGCCTTGTGAGAGAAGCTGCAAACTTGCAATCCGGTGCACAGCAGCTTAGGGAGGAAGACTGCACACCAGGCCCTGGCTTAGAATCAAGCGTCGGGGGGTTTGAGGTCCCACTGCCCCATGGACAGAAGAGAGTCACTCCACCGAACCATTAATTTTTCTTGGACGAGGCGATGTTTCCATTGCCATACCTAGCTTTCTAGCCTTTGGCGTGCATTCCATGGGTTTCCTCTGTTTCAACCAGCTTCAACGCGAGGCCACGTGCTCTTTGCTGGCGCACATTGCCACAGACGGAGATGAGCACCAGGCGGCCTTTTGGAAGCGCCAGATCGCAGGTTCGCCTGGAAACGGACGGGTACGGCTCGTTAAAGTAGGTTTCTCTGGATGAGTCACAAAGTTGACCTTCACCGCAAGAGTGTTTCAACTCTTCTCTCTCATAACGGTTCGGCTTTGGTTCACATGCCGAAATCTTGTGCTATCCAGCCAAGGGAAGCTTCGACCTGTTGCAGCTTCATGGCCAGTCGGGAGCATCAATGTGTCTATTCACTTATGCCCTTCAAGCGATGCATTTCCAACGTGTCACACACACACACACACAGCACGTAGATCGAACATGTGCGCACATTGTGAACAGCCCATGCTGCAAAATGGTCTCGCTCATGTTGACCGAAGCGAGACTTCCGGCAATCTTTTTCCTATTTCTCGGCCACTATGTGTGGGCGTGCGTGGAAATGGTGGGGCACGCCAAAATGGATTCTGGTTTCCCGGGTGAAAAAGGATGCCCTCGAAGAAAAGCACACCCACATGGACGCGCCGAATCTGGTCCACCCCTTCGGGGAAGTGTACTTCACTTCCATTGTCAGAGATTGGTGGGCAGCTGTCCTTTGCTTTTGGAATGCGAGGCCCTGGTGCTGGAAGAGGGAGGCGAGGGGACGGGCTGGCAGCAGACCTGCCTGAGGGTGTGAGTTTTTGTGAGGGTCCTGGATTTTGGCTGGTGCTTACAGGGAAACCAGCAGGAAATCAGCCTGTTTTCGGGGTCCCGAGTTATTTTGAGGGTAGCCTTTTCACCTTGGTTGGACAGATACCTTTTTTGGGGGTCCCCTATGTTGATACATACCCATTGCGAGGGGCTAAATTCTAAACCATTACACACTTTTTGCTACTATGGTTATAGCTTCATTTGGGTTTGACATATCCGAGACACTCAGTCCAATCATTTGGCTCCTTATATTACTTTGAGAAGCGTTCTCAGAACTCTTTGATCAGAGCCCTTCGATCAGAACCCCGTGATCAGAACCCCTAAGAAGCTACCTTCCCTTGTGAGTTTTTCGGCCTGTACTTTCCTCCCCACTTGGGAGCAAGAAACGCAGAGCGCTCCTTGCGCAATTCCAGCCTTGTCAGCTACCTTTCGAGGATGTGTGCACTGCAGAGGGTATGCCGTGATTCGTAGAAGGCACGTTTAGGCTCTTCGGGGGTATTGACCAGAGAGGGAGCGCCCACCCAACAAGTTGAAGGGGTTTGTGCGTGCTTTGCGTGCGTGCGTGCGTGCGTGCGTGCGTGCGTGCGTGCGTGCGTGCGTGCGTTGCGTGCGCGTGTGTGCGTGTGTGTGTGTGTGCGTGTGCGTGTGCGTGTGTGTGCGTGCGTGCGTGCGTGCGTGCGTGCGTGCGTGCGTGCGTGCGTGCGTGCGTGCGTGCGTGTGTGTGTGTGTGTCTGTGTGTGTGTGTGTGTGTGTGTCTGTGTGTCTGTGTGTCTGTGTGTCTGTGTGTCTGTGTGTCTGTGTGTCTGTGTGTCTGTGTGTCTGTGTGTCTGTGTGTCTGTGTGTCTGTGTGTCTGTGTGTCTGTGTGTCTGTGTGTCTGTGTGTCTGTGTGTCTGTGTGTCTGTGTGTCTGTGTGTCTGTGTGTCTGTGTGTCTGTGTGTCTGTGTGTCTGTGTGTCTGTGTGTCTGTGTGTCTGTGTGTCTGTGTGTCTGTGTGTCTGTGTGTCTGTGTGTCTGTGTGTCTGTGTGTCTGTGTGTCTGTGTGTCTGTGTGTCTGTGTGTCTGTGTGTCTGTGTCTCTGTGTCTCTGTGTCTCTGTGTCTCTGTGTCTCTGTGTCTCTGTGTCTCTGTGTCTCTCTGTGTCTCTGTGTCTCTGTGTCTCTGTGTCTCTGTGTCTCTGTGTCTCTGTGTCTCTGTGTCTCTGTGTCTCTGTGTCTCTGTGTCTCTGTGTCTCTGTGTCTCTGTGTCTCTGTGTGTGTCTCTGTGTGTCTGTGTGTCTGTGTGTCTGTGTGTCTGTGTGTCTGTGTGTCTGTGTGTCTGTGTGTCTGTGTGTCTGTGTGTCTGTGTGTCTGTGTGTGTGTGTTGTGTCTGTGTCTGTGTCTGTGTCTGTGTGTGTGTGTGTTTGTGTTTGTGTTTGTGTGTGTGTGTGTGTGTGTCTGTAAACTAACTTTCACAAGCTTGATTAGCCTTGTTCTCATGCCAGGTGCGCACAAAAACTGGCATTTCCAGGCCTCAGGTGCCATCAAAACAGAAAGGTATGGGCTGTCCACCAGAAGCCACTCGCAAACTGGATCAGGGTTCCTTGAAATTGCTCGTGGTGAGATTTTGGATATGTTTATGTTTGGCAGGAAACATGCGGTGTTTGAGTACCAACCCAACTCAAATGTAAGATCTCCACAAATAGACGGCCTTATCCACGTCTTGTCTGTGTACAAGCCCACTGGTCAATTCTACCATGGAGCATGACAGGCTCAAATCACTTGCAAACGAGACAGACTGCACTCCTTATCAACACCAGCTGGCAAAAGCGCACCAGCTTCGTAAGGATGCCACCAAGCTGAGCACATCGTGGCAACATTCCGGGGCAACATTTCGGCCCCTAGGGCCAGGTTTTGAGGCTTTGCCATGTCGGGTTCTACCAGACCCGTCGCTAAAGGCGACGCCATCGAGCTCGACTTGGAGACCATGACAGTCGAGCAGGGCCTGAAACTCATTGAGGAAGAGCGCGTGCAGCCGCTTTTGACCTATTTGAGGACTGGTGTCTTCGAGAATCGTACCAACATGACTTTCATGAAGGCGTACTCGGTCGTTGTACAGTTTGGCGATCAGTCGCACCACTCCTTCAGGCTCTATTCCTACTACAAGGAGGTCATCTTCAACTATTGCCAAGACGCCATGCCGCAACTCGCCCGGCTCTCCGGCGAGGAGCTGTTGAAGGCCTTGGCACAGCTTTGGGAAAAGAACAGAATCCTGATCTTTTGGATGCAAAGAGTATTTCAGTACCTGGATCGCTTTTTCACCAAGAGCAATGCAGAGCACCCAGACCTGTTCAAGGCTGCTCTTCAGTGCTTTACCGAGACTGTGTACTCCAAGGTCAAGGACAGGTGCGTGGCAGCCATGGTCGCGGAAGTGAATCGGGAGCGAGATGGGGCTGAAGTTGACCAGGATATGCTCCGATTGCTCGTGGAGATGCTTTGCACGGTTGGTGATTCCAGCCCAAAGGTGATAAAGCAGAAAGAGAGTACAGACAAAAATTCGGCAGATCGGCTGTTATGGCAGTCGCAAGAGAAACAGGGTCGCCAACTGTACAAGGCAGATTTCGAGAATCTCCTGCTTGCAACAACGGAAGAGTACTACCGATCCAAGGTGGCTGGGTGGATGGCCAAGTACACATGCCCTCAATTCCTGCACGAGATCCAGAGCCGCTTGGATGACGAAGAAAGACGACTGAGCCGATACCTTGACTCCTCGTCGGAGAAGGATCTCAAGATGGTCGTGCAGCGGGAGCTTATTCTGAATACCGCGAAGGAGCTGGTTGAGATGAGTAGCACTGGCGCCCAGGCCATGTTCATGCACCGGCGGCACGAAGAGTTGAAGCTCATGTACAGAATCTTCAGAAAAGAGCCCTCCATGCTGCCATACATCATCGCGGTTATGGAGCCCTACATTGAGCTGAGGTGTTCCAGAATAGTGGAGGACCAACAAATGATTGACAACCCTCCGACCTACACTGAGAAGGTGCTGGAGCTGAAAAAGGAAGTGGACGACATGGTCACGTCTTGCTTTGACAGCGACACTGTCTTTCAGAAGGGCAGAAACAAGGGGTTGGAGGCGGTCCTGAACAAGGACACGCGATGTGCCAAGTACCTTGCGCTTTACTGCGACCTCCAGCTCAAGAAAGGCTTGAAGGGCAGAAATGAAGATGAGGTGCAGACCTTGGTGAATCAGGTTGTTGGCCTCTTTGCCCACCTGAAGGACAAAGACATTTTCCTTGACATCTACAAGAGCGCTTTGTCGCGGCGCTTGCTGAACAAGCTGTCTGTCTCGAACGACGCGGAGGACTGCTTCATCACAAAGCTCAAAGTCGAGTGTGGGCAACAAGCCATCCAGAAGCTGGCTTCCATGTTTACCGACATGGCACTCAGTGACCAGCTCCAGGAAGAGTACATCAAGAACGCTCACCAGGGATCCCCTGGCGGAGTGCAGCATGAGGTGAAGGTGCTCCAGACCAACGCTTGGCCCGAGAAGGCGGACGATGCTCCAGTGGTGCCCTGTCCAGAGATGCTGGCCTGCATCAAGGCTTACGAGGCCTTCTATCACGCCAAGCACAACGGGCGGAAGCTCAGGTGGATCTTCAACATGGGCAGCGTGGAGGTTCGATGCCACGGCCTGGTCCGGCAGCACCTCCTCGTGATCTCAGCGTACCAATGCCTGGCGTTGATGCTCTTCAACCAGCGCAAAGAGGTGACGCTGAAGGAAATGTGCGAAGCTACCAAGCTTCCGGAGGATGAATGTAAAAGACAGGTCATGTCATTGACTGTCTCGCGGCACAAAGTCCTCCTGCATGACAGCACGGGCAAAGACTTGAATAGCGAGAGCAAGCTGCAGGTCAATGATAATTTCACCAGTGAGAAGGTCAAAGTTTCGGTCAGCCTTATCAAGAAGGAGGAGAAAGCTGGGGAGACCACGGCACTGGCAGAGGCCCCTGTTGAGAGGAAGCACGTCATAGATGCTGCTATCGTCAGAATAATGAAGTCCAGGAACTGCCTGGAGCACAACGCTCTGCTTGACGAGGTTTTCAGACAATGCACCTTGTTCAAGCCACAGCCTACACAGATCAAGAGCCAGATCGAGCATCTGATCGAAAGAGAATTTCTGAAGCGAGATGAGAAGAACCGGAATGTCTATATTTACTTGCCTTAGAGCAGACTGCACGCGCTCCGAGAAACAGAAGTAAAATTATTTTGTGTTGCCATCGGTCCCGCGGCTGAGGGCTGGATTCCCCATATTGGACCGATCGGACAGTTCTTTGCGAGGCCTGAGCGCCGCCATCGCCTCTGCTGCGTTGCATGGGGCAGACAGCGAGGTGCAGGCGGATGATTTGTGCAGGGGCGAGGTTGGTGAAGGGTAGACTTGAGCCCGGGTTCAGGTGGTTTGAGGGTGGGTTTCGGGTGGAGGGGACCTGGGCTTGAAACAGTCAGGGGCGAGTAGGTGTTTTGCTTTGGTTTCAGCTTTTTTTTAATGGGCGCAACTTGGCCATGCTTGGCGCAAGGCCGAGTTGGGAATGTTGGGCAGCCGTTGAAACCAACCGGGCTTTTCTCAAGATACGGAACCCCTGTTTGGGATGGTTTGGAAACCCAAAGGACCGGGAAGCCACTTTTGAGGGGTCTCTTTTTTTTGGGAATCAGCCAATTGGGAAGGCCTTCCAGCTCTTTTCCAGCTCGTGGTTTGCTAGTTTGACGTCCCAACAATTGCAATTTGATGGGCTGAGTTGCCAGTTGTCGTGGTAAGACCACCTTTGATCGCCATGGAAGAGAGACGGCCTGCTTGACATTTGCTGATGAAGCAGGGCATTCATGTTGAATGTGGACAATTGGAGGCCCGTTGGAACTGACGATAAGAGCAGAGTGTGTCATTCCGATGAGGTCAATGTGTTCATCCCTGGACTAGCGCAAACAGCCGGCCATGGGTGCACTGTCCCTTCAGGGTCGATCCCGCTTTGGATGAGTTCAGGATCATCATTTAGTCTCCCCATCCGTAAAACGATTTCGCTGCGGCCTTTGTGGATCCATTCCTGTAGGATACTTGAAGAATTCTAAAAGCGTGCAAAACAAGGACCAACAACGCGAGCAGGTGGAATCCAAACTGTTTTCTTGACCCAGGATTCGTTCAAGCGGCGTCGCATTCCCGCCAGGTCGAGTGTTTCGACCTGCTGCAAAATCTGCTGGGCCGGCCGTTGCCCTCAGGCGCGTGGGCACCGAGGGCAGTGCCGTTGCAGGGTGCTGTCGCGCTGTTCCAGGCCGTGACTTAGAGAATGAAAGCGAGACGCACACCTTAGTTTCTCCGGCTGTACGTGTTTTGTTACCTGTGCATTTGTAGGTTGTGTTTGAACAAACGGAACAAGCGCAACAAACATTTGGCAGATACGTTCGAATGGCATCGCTTTGAAATTAGTTTTGCTGGAGGTGGAACGAATGACTTGGGCCACGAGGGCCTGCTGGAGAGTGTTTCCCTTCTGGAATAAGCGCCTTGCAATGCCATGATTGAACGAGCATATTGCTTTTCACAGCAGGATCCGGCTGAGCAATATGGAACCTTAAAAGGTTCATGTTTGGATTATTGTACACCTTCATTGCACCCCCACTTTTGTGAAAAGGTCGCTTTGTGCTCGCCGGGGTGTAGAGCAATCTGTGACGTGGCCCCTTCGTTTTTGACTCAGCCTGAAGCTGATGTGGGATGTAAGACGGGTTCTTGATTGATGGATCAGGTAACACTCAGCTTGTGTTTTGGGGTGTTTTACCAAAGGGTAAGCTCGTTCCGCAAGTCTTTCATGCTTGAGCTGTTTCGTTGTCCCATGGAACACCGTTTGATCTTGGGAAACCTCGACCATTGGGGGGGATTTTGAACCCGACCTCAGTCTTTGTGGGGTTGGTTCTTTTGAAGTGAAGAAACGGGGCACCACGTTTTTGGCATTTTTTTTTCAATCAGACACACCTCTGGGGTTAATTCCCCATGGCTTGCAACCATCTGATATTTCGCTCCAGACCAGCCGCTTTCCCGAATCCCTGGGTTCAGAATGGTTGTATTGTTTCTTTTCTCTGAATGAGGGCACCCCCAAAATTTGGCTGTTGCCCTTCGGTTTCCTTTGAACACGTTAAGAATCCGAAAAACAAGTCCACCCACAGTTTGCCTCTAAATAATTGCCCTGGCCACGCAGTTGGGTTGTTTCCCTTTTCAAACCCTAAAGGGGGTACTCTCAAAAAAAGAACAAACGAAGCACCCCGAAAAGGATACCAAATTTGTTGGGGGTGTCTCCGTTTGTCAACTGGAACCAAGAGGCACCCCCACTGGATCTGGGATCTACCGTGGATGGACAAATTAATAAAATACCGGGAAAACGTGCCTGTGGATTTGATTGCAGAGTATCTCTGGTTGCTTTGACAGCCAGTCTGGAATAAACCGCCTACCCACTGGCGGCCGATTTCAGAGCTCGGGTCTTGAGGGTTCGGTAGCTGGTTCTCAGTTCGGAAATGCGGGACTGATCCCTCTGAAACCTTTGCTTCCTGACTGAGAAGCAGCAATCCTTGGAACAATCTCTACCAGAACACTTAACGTTGTGCGTGGCGCTTCGCGCTGAAACGCCCAATGGGAACGGCCGCCCAGTGTCGGACGCCGGCCCGCGCGTTGCGACGCATGCGAAGGCCCCAGCAGCCTGGTGCAGTCTGCCTCGGCCAGAGGGGCAGTGGATCTCATCATCCGGGCGCTGAGGAGCGGACATCTCACACAGGCGAAACATATGTTTGTACCTTGTTTTTGTTCAAGGAGTTGGTTTTTGGGGGTGGGTTCATTTTGGAAACCCTTTTTCTCTCTTAGTTTGTAAGGCAAGCCAGAAGGAAAAAACACATTTTCGGGAGGGGGTTCCCTAGTTTTGACACAAACCCATGATGTTCCGTTGGAGTCGCCAGTTTCCCGCACCTCTAGTTGGCAATTCCTCTTTTCGAAGAGCTTCCCCTTTTACAATCACCGACCAAACCAGGGGGGCATTTTTTCCAGGAGAGGTTTGGTGGGTCAGAATGTCTAGTACTTGCTTACAAATCACGCGCGCCCCCAAAAGGAGATTCCTCTAAAACAAATGATGTTTTGTTGTTTGCATTTTTGGAAGGACGTAAGTAGGGGGGAGGAGCTCTGACTTTCAGCCACAAGAACCAAGCGGACCCACTCATTGTCGCATGTCGTTTACAAGAACAGCATATCTAGTATTGCATTTTTCACACCTAAGACAGCACCAGCAATTTGAAAGCCGCTCTTATAGCCGTACAGTGCTCGCTTCACATGCAGCGCTAGATAGCATTGAGCACATTGAGCCAACACAACACCACCAATGTGCTATGCTGACGTTTGTCAAAGCAACACAACATCAAATGCCACAGCTTGCCATTCAACGAGGCACCAAAGCTGCCCACGGAAGCTATCCTGTCACTTACAGGGGATTCCGGAGCCGTTGAAAGATGTCCGAAACACAGGTTAGAACAATGGCGAGGCCGAGTGGCTTCCTTTAGTTTCCCCTTGCCAGTTATTTTGTTGTGCGCCAACTTGTGCCTTGTGCTCCACTCGCGAAGGAGCTTTCCCGAGCACCCGGGGGTGCTCCGCTCTGGCGCTCGGCTCCTGCGGAGCCTCGTACGCCTGGTGCTCACAAGCTCCAAAGGTCCAGCCAGGAACCAGGAAGACCTGGTAGCCATTTTGGATTTGTCTTAAAATGGGGGACCCCGGAAATGCAGCTTTCCTTTTGGTTTTTCTTTGAAGCCTCTACAAAAAGGGTACCGTAGCCTCAGAAAGACACAACCCATTCCCTTGTTTTTTTGTTGGATCGGTTCTGGGCAAAATTTGTTTAAGCGCCCCGACACCAAGAGGATGTTGAACAGTTGTTTGAACATGCTCAAACCAGGGCTTGGCCGGATCCTGGCACTAGTTCATAAGCGATGGAAAGACGCTGTTGAATACAGCACATTGGAATCACTAAAGCCTCAGGGGGGGGGGGGGGGGGCCTTTAAGGGCATGCCGGGGGGGGGGGGGGGCCGGTAAGGGCATGCCGAGCTTGAATGAGTGGTTTCAGGCAGGGTCCATACTTACTGCTCAATCTCACCACAATTGGCAGTGCGATGTTTGAGGGGCGGCGGACATTCGTTACAAACTACGTTAAACTGTTACCTACCCTGTGTCATTCAGTGAGACCTGCTGGCTCGTTGCATCCCCCTGGTTGCATGCGACACATTTCCACCTGGCTGGTTGCATGCCCCTTGTTGCATGCCCCGATACCCAGACTCCGAGTGATTTACTGCACTTGGCTCCGTACGATCGAGCTGGAGCTGTGGAAATGAACCTTGTTGTTCTGCGCATTGTGCTAGTACTTGTCAAACACAGTTTTCCTGCTACGCAACGTAAGGACAGGGAAGCAAGATTTGTGGCGCGTCGCGTTATAGCCAATTCATTTTTAAGGCGATCCTTTTCGGACATGGTTGAAAGGAACCCTATTTCAAGGGTCCCATTTAGAGAGACAAACCCAAGCTTTATCTTTATCCTTGTACCCTCCATATCTCTGCGTGAGCGAGCGCTCCCTTTGGGAACTCGCAGGAAGTTGCAGCCTTCAGTAGGCCGGCCGCTTGCCTATACAGGCTAGTTTTCGTTACAAGACACAGGCTATGCCTCCTAAATCAGCCAGGCGAAGTTAGCCCCACGAAGTTAGTAACATTGGCTACTTCGTGCTGAGTCTACCTCATCATTTTATATCTGAATGGCCAAGTTGGCGCCTGAGAACAACCAACCCACATCACTTACTATGTTTGCCCGATCAAGTTAGCAGACTTGACCGAGTTATAACATAGGTTGTAACACAGTTGCCAAAGTTACTAACACAGTAACATCATAGTTGCAAACAAGCTAAACAAGCCAACTACTTACCAACACGGCCGAACATCCAACTAGTCGTATGTGGAAGGCTGTTGCCAAGTTCCATGTGCGTGCGCTGAGACTAACCTGCTCAGCACCTTGTCCACCGAAGGCCATCCTCGCATTTTAGTCTGCTTTCTGCGGCCAAGTTTTTACATGGAACGCACATTTGCCCCTAATCCGTTAGGTCAACTTACTCCTGTCATTTCAACCATCCCCATTTCGGCGGATGACTCGAGTAAATGGTGCAATGGACCGATTTGATTGCGACCCGCCCAGTTGGTGGGGACCTCTCGGACTCCGAGCGGAGCCTTCCCCAGCAAGTTGAGGACCGGGACGGTCCGCGCTCCGAAGCCGCTTTGACTGCCCGGGTTGAAGGGACGAGCAAAGGAGCAGGGGTTGTCTATTTTACCCAAGTGAGTTCCAATGACCAGCCAGTTGAGCTCTTAGATTTTGCGGACATGTTTTTGATTCCCATCCAATTGTCGCGCAGATCTTTACAACCAGGTTGTTGACATACAGCAGCATCGGCATTGCATTGTGCTTGCAGGCGCCCACGCTGCCAACAAGTACAATGCCTGGGTGCCAGGGAAACGCAAGGCTTCGGGAGTGGTCATGCAGCTTTCAAGCGGTCCCTAGCAAAGAAGGAGGGGGGTATCCCAATCCAACGGAAAGGCCAAGATTCAGCAAAGGGCACGGCACTAAGAGCCCAAGGCAGGAGCCACAAGCTGGTTTACCAGCTGCACGAGACAGCTACTTCGCGATGGGCGAGGGGAAGCTCCACAAGAACTTGGGAGTTCGCTGTTACGCCTAAGGTGTCCTAAGCGAGCGGAGGGGCCATATAGACGAGAGGCTACCACACAGGCGAGCTCGGGGCCGCCGCAAATCCAAGTCGGGTGACTAGGTTCCACCAGATATGAAAGCCTGCACTATACCACAAAGCCCCAAAAGGCCGCACGATTGACACACGCTCTGAAGAGCCAGAGCAAAAAGGCCGAAGGGGGAATCAAGTGGAGATGCCTGTAGGAGGAAAGTCGATATGGCGGGCCGGTCGAGCCTCAGAAGCTAAACCAACTTGAGCCAGCATGTTGAAACCTCTCGTTTGCTCGGTTGCTCGTTGTTTGTGGTAAAATCAACAACCCCTTGCTTTGCTCGTCCCCAAAAGCCAGCCAGACAAGAGTTTGATAGTTCTAAGTATGGTGCCAAGTGAATCAGGATTCCTCTCGTTCCTCCGAGAGGAATCTGATGGGTTCAAAGGATGGCTCTTTGGGATCCAACCGGTGGCTCACGGGTTTTCGAGGAGAGGCTCAGCGCCTGCGAGGGCTTCGCGGAGGGCCTCAGGGTGCGGGGCCGGTGGGGGGAGCGGTGGTTGGCTTTTTCAGGTCAGGATTCAGATAGGCTTGGGGTGTGTCTTTGAGGAGGCGATTTCCACGGACCGTGTAAATACCCGACGAAGGTGTTGGAAACTTCCCCCAGTACAGGTTCATTGGGGATGGTCCCAAATTTTGGGCACCTTTTGAACGAACCTCAGTAGGCAGGTGACTTCCCCCAGTTCCGTCGCACTTGGCCTGGCTCAAACTCAGCGGTTGGGGTTTGAAGCCAACCGAGAGCATAGCTGGCCAAGAATCTGATTCTCCCTGGTGTGGCGGGGCTCTTCGGATTGCAAGTGGTGAAACGAGAGCAGGGCTCGTCCTTCTCTTCTGGGATCTCCTTTGACATGATTTTACATTTTAAGGCTCACCAAACATAGGCTAGAATGACACCATTTTTTGAGCCAACTACCCCAAACCAAGCCAACAAGAAGGTAAAGTGATTTTGCTAGTGTTAAAAGCACACCAAAGGAAACTGACAGGCTTTGTGGATAGCTTCAGACAGCATAGGAAAGGTCTTAGCTATCAACTCGATGGAAAGCACCTCCCAGTCTATTTGCATCCGATCTACTTCAATCTGATTTGTTATTTATTGATGCCTGCCGGCTTCCAAGCAAGAAGCAATCCTGGGGTGGAGTTGGGGGAACAAGTCGAAATTAATGATCCAACAGCTGTTAGATTCTGGAAAGATGATTGCCATTTGAAAGTCCCACCCCGTTCTACAGGCGCTCCGCAAACCCTTGCCACATGAACGATCACACTTACAACAGATTAGACTGTTCCAGATCATAAACCCTCGAGAAGTGCAAGTTGCAAGACATTGCGCACATTGATCCAAATGACCTGACAGTGTTTTATGACCGGACCATGGTCCCCTTTGAAGGCCAGCCGAGAGCAGGTTGCTCTTTTTTGTAAAACACAAACACCAAAACAAATTACAGAAACAAAACACCAAAACATTTCAGAATCAAGCGAAGCGCAAGAGACTGCGACATTGTTTAAGATGTGTTTTTCCCAGGTTCCTGTGAGAATCACTGGCACTCCCATTCGCTCATGGCGCGGAAGTCTCCTTCCAAGTCTGCACGGCCCCCGGAGCTTGATGATGACGTGCACCGCGGAGTGTCCTACGACCTGGGTATGCAGCACATGCAGCTCCTTCTGTCAGATACCCCTTAATTGGTGGTTTGGGGGGGAAGGTATCCCCACCCAAACATCCGAACCACCAAACCAAGCCACCAAATAGGGGTAAGGTGATTCTGAATTGGAGGGCGGGCTATCTAAAAATTGGTGTCCCGTAAGGCAGCACCACGGGCAGCACCAGGGTAGCATTTGCGAAGGCCTTCATCGTTTCGGTACTCAAACCCCTTCTGGTCATCCCATCATTGACAAAAGGGTGCAAACGCGAATCCCATCATTGCGGGGAAGTCCCTGTGAACAAAAGACAGCTCAGAGCCTCTAAAAGATGATCAAAACACAAGGGTAGATAATTGGTGAACGGTTTCCTCTAGTTTCCTTTTGCACTGACATAGGTTCTTTGGATCAACATAAGGTACGCAGGATTAAGAAACCCCTGGTCGATTCACTGGGCGCTGGCTCATTTGAGAGGGCAATCTGCCTATACGGCAAGGACTCCTGGGAGTAAAACGAGCTTACTATAATGTAGGTGTTTTTTCTTGGGATCGAATTCTTAACTTGCCGGTTTCGAACAGTAACACTTGCAGATTCATGATGGTCCCAACCCAAACCTTATGCAACACAGCCCCGAACTTTCACATTCCTCGAGGAGGGGCGTGGGGTACAGTATATCTGGGGTCGACATTTGTTGAGAATATTCTTTTCTTAAAGGCCAGGTTGGTGGTGGTTTTCTGGAAAGGATCCCTGAGAATGGGAAAGTCACCCGGGCCACAGCGTTGCCCAAGGCAGCCGCTTCTGCCACCGGTGTCGCCCAGCCGCCACTCCATGGACACCAGGAAGCCCCAGCTGCGGGCGGGCTGTTTCTGGCCACTGTGGTCTGAGTGTGTGCCACGGCCATGGGTTAGAGGGGACCTGCCTGAAGTCCAGGTGATCTTCCCGGAATTCTCCCAGATGGCTGCCTTTTGGGGGTTGTCAAGACAAACATCGGCGCCCTCCTGGGTATCCACTGTAGAAGGAGGAGCAAGGTGGCGCTAGGGTCTAAAAAGGGGCCATAGTTGTCAGCCCCCTTTTCCAGCTTTTGCCAGCGTTTTTTGGGCAAAGCAGAGACTTTCGAATCTGGGTTCCAGTTGCCCCACATAGAAAGGCGTCGCGAATCTGGTTACAGTTGCACCATAAGGAGGATCCTTGATTTAGCAAATCTTAGCCTGGAAGGATAAGGATGGCAGTCGGAGCTACTATTGGAAAAGGCAAACCCAGCCAACTCGCTACAGATTTGGCTGGCACGGCAAAGATTTGACCTGAGAAGTGTGGGAAGGCTCTTGGTGGCTATGTGTCCAACGGTTCGAAACCTCTGCGAATGGTTGCTTTCCGGTGCGTTGTCAACAGGGGCCTTCATTTCCGTACCAAGTGCAGCATCGCTAGATGATCATCTTGAGGGCTCTGAACATGTTCCCGGTGGTTACTCTCTAGACACTTTAGCTCGGGCAATTCTGAGGATGTCTCCTGATGGACCCAGTTCTTTGCGACCTCAGGTGAGGTTTGGTAAAACACTCCAGTAGTCTATGGTCCGTGTGGGATGGACATCGGCGATTCCCCACAAACACTACGTAGGGAGGCTGATACAAGGCGAGTGTCGGTTCCTTTGCTGATGAGCGCCGTAAAAGTTTCCTCAGGTCGTTGCCAACCCTGGGAAAAAGCAAGGTCCAAAGTGTGACGAATGTCAGTACCTGTGCAAATGGCCTTGTCGAATGAATCCAGAATCGTGGCTCAGGTGCCGCTACCACCCAACAAGAGCACTGGCCCTCCAGACTGGGGCACCTTGGGAGTGAACCTTCTGGCGGGGCTCATCATGGGCGTCCGCGAGGCCCGAGGACGACAATGTGGGGGTCCCATTTCAGTTTGTGTCCAAATGGGAATTCCCCCCTAAATGCGTGGTTTCCCTTTGACATCCTTCAACATAGGAGGTTACTCGCCACAAAAGTCACACCAATTTGGGCGCCCAGCGCCTTTGGCGTACGTTTGTTGGTTTTTGATGTTGATGTTGATGTTGGTGTGTCTATGAATATGTTTTAAGGATACCTTTTTGGGTGGTTCTACAGCAAAACCAAAAGGAACAACACCATTTTGCAGGTCCCCTATTTCCCTCGGTTGCCAGGGGATGCTGCTTGTTGATTGGTAGCTGTTGCCTCCAATGGCTGTTCGCTGTTTAGATTGGGCGATGTAATTGTTCTTCTTTAACCATCTTCAATCTGCTTGCTTTTGCTTGTATCCGCTTCAGCTTCAGTCTGCTTCAATCTTCTTCATTGAGCAAGACACTGCATCAATGGTTGGCCCAATCATGCACGTGTGTTCGTTAGATTGTTAGTTTGTTGGTCCATTGGCGCGTTGAGCCGTTAGTTTGTCGGTTTGTTGTTTGTTTGTTCCTTTGTTTGTTTGTTCGCTTGCGTGCTTGTTTGTTGTTTTGTTTGTTTGTTTGTTTGTTTTGCTTGCTTGCTTGCTCGCTTGCTCGCTTGCTTGCCTGCTTGCTTTGCTTTGCTTGCTTGCTTGCTTGTTTGCTTGCACGCTGCCGTGTTCAACATTCGCTGTCTGTGTATTGCGCATGTTGCAAAGCTTGCCTCATGGCAGGCGAGAGTTGCTTTTGTCGTTTCAGTTTTCCTTTCATCCTCCATATTGATTGGTGTTTGAGAGTTTCTGCGTTGCTTGCCCACATTTCTTGCCCACATTGCTCACCGACTGTTGTGCAACATGGTAGTTGCCAATGGCGGTGATTGTGTTCGAGTGCCTTGTTGCCGTGGCTTGATGTGGCTCCTGTGTTGCTTTCTGGTCCAGGCAAGGTAGGGCGCTTGCTTCTGCTCGCTTGTGTGTCCTGCGAGCTGTTTTGCAGTCAATGTCGTGTTTTTTGCTCCGCGCGTGGGGGGGGGGGAGCGTGCTGACGTCGCGCTTTGTGCTGGTTGCCAACGACTGACCGCTGCTGCTGGTTAGTTCTTGCCGTCGAGGATGGATGACCTTTTCTCATGTTGTGCCAGTTGTGGTGCTTGCAGTGGCAAGTTTCTCGGTTGCACCACTCCAAGCCCGTTGCTGCTGTTGCCGTAGCCACCAGAACCCCCTTTTCGTGCCAATCAGCGGAACTTCCGATCCCATTTCCATGACTCGCTCGGGAGGCACTAGGCGGCATCGTCTCTGCGAGTTTGGTCTTCTCCGCGGACAACCCGGAGATATCATCCATGCTCCAGCGCTTCGGACCACGCAGAGTCCGGGCAAGTTTTGGTCGGGCCGGGTGGGATGAAGAAGCCAAATGGCGCGGTGGATGTATTGGTTTTTTGCAGGACCGGTTTCCTCAACTCGGGGACCTATATAGGTTTGACAGGTTCTTGTCCCATGTCGGATTGCGGTCTTCCAAAACCCTTGCACCCACTTCCATTATGGTAGCCTTGATGTATGAAGAACAAAACAAGGGTGGATGGCAAATTTTCGGCTCATGCGCAGATAATTACGAGCAAACAGGCAGCTGCTGAATGCGGGTGACCGATTAGTAAATGAGCTCCTTGCGCAGAATTTGGAAATCGCCAATCGCCGAAAACACAAATCTTTGCGGACACGGGGTTGGTCCCCTTTGACTAGTCTTCGAGTTGACACTGTTTGGCATGGATTCATGTAATATTCGTGCAGTATTGATTTGGTCTTGGTTGTTGATTGGGGTTGGACCTCTATACTTGCTTTCTCTGCCACGGTGGTTTGCACTGTTTTGATCAGAGCTGAGCTGACCCAGTTTAGATCCAACTTAATTTGACCTTCCACAGCAAGCTGTCCGCATTTAGCGCCTCTGTTTGCGGGCGAG